GATTCCATGATTCTATGATTCTATGATCTTTTTGACACTGAGCTACATAGCCTCACAGACATCCATTTTTAGAGAGGAAAAGAACTATTCTCCTATCCTGTAAGAGGTGCAGAACTGTCGCTAAATTCAGGAACACAGTAAGGAAGGTGAAGGAGGGCTAAAACTGGCATGAAGGCAAAAAGTCACATTGGAAACCAGGGGAAACATTTTGCAGTTGGCTAGGGTTCCACATGTACCTCCTTACCTTGTTGATGTTTACAAGCAGCACAACACTGCCTTCTCCAGGTTGAAGCTTCACACTGAATGTTTTCTGCGTTTGCAATTTGGGAATGTGCACAGTCACAATACCTGCAATTGGCTTGGAGCTGACTACATCAAAAATAGACTCAATTTCAAGACTCCACTGCTGAGCACTCTTTACTAAGTGAAGGAGAAGAAAAAAATGAGAATTTAGGAATTGTGTTTATATACTTACTAGTTAACATGATCTCTTGTCAAAAAAACAATTTCAGATTAAATTTAACCCTTTTCAGGCCTTGTTTGAATCAGGCCTACAAGGTTAATCTTCTTGTTTAGTGCATTTGATATCTGTGTTTACATCTGCTGACCCAGAAGAGAACTACGCAATATGATTTATAACTCTCTCTTTTTTCATTTGAAAGCCATCCAGGGGTTTTCCAGAGTTCTGTACAAAAGTCAGAGACCATGACACCAGTCACTTCATAAGGGAGGATTTTTTCCCAACAGCTCACATAGACATTGTATTTGCTTTTAGTCAGCACTCATATGAACATGGTACTCTTTGGGAAAGATCGTAATCACAAGGCAGTACAATCACTTTTGTCAATGAAACAAAAACTGTATTAACAGAAAACGAGCTGAATTCATCCCAGAGTCACTAGACAAAATGAATGGAGTTATGCTGGGGATGAATTGGGCCCGTTGTGTCTAGACTTGATGGGCTGTATTTTTATGTCCCTTCTGCCATCAAAGGGTGGTAGAGGAAACAAGTTAATGACTTCTCTGAGATCTCTCTACAGTTACCTCAGGCAGTCCTCTCCTTTTACAGATCTCACTGAATAAGGCAAGCCAGGGTCAAGAGTACTCAAGATTAATGTGTAAATTTCTCATTAACTTCAGCAACTAAAAACATAGCCTGGTTAATCCTATACTTCAAATATTACAGATGAGCATCTATCTAAGCAAAAGCAAATAAAACAGAAAACAAGGAAAACTAGAACAAAGACACATTTTGTATATACAAACTACTAATCACTTACTTTCTCTTTTCATGTATACATTCTAGCTCTCCTTCCTCCAGGAGAGAAAGAGAGCTCCCTCCAAAAGGAAAGAGTAACATTCAGCCCTGATGTGATTTTCACTGTCTTTTGTAGAATGAAAAGCAATGAATATGTTCCTAAGTTTATATTACACCAAACATCACTTGGGGAAGACCAGTTTTCAGAAATGTTGAAGGGGTCAAAAAACACCCACCCTGCAAGTGTTAGCCATTATAGACAGTTTCCCCCCCCCTCCAAGGGCATACAGAAATTCCAGACTACTCCTTAACTGCATTAATTGTGGGGTCTAGGCAGAGAAATCAAGAACAATGAATCTTTTACAGACGCAGTGGTCAAAAGGCTATGACACCAAATCTGATTAGCAATGTAACTTCACAGGCAGCTTAAATTCAAATTGTTAATTTACTCTTTATTTTTCAAATGTTATTATGTTTGAACAATAATAAGCCCTGGCTCTGGTTCCAAACCACTCTGCTGAATGAAAGAGGCTTGCTCTGTCCCCTTACCCAGAGAGCAAGACTTTACCTACCAGAAGGTGGAGTTGTGGGAATGTGGGAGGGACCAGGAAAGATTTTTACTGTATCTAAATTTTAGAGAGCCCACAGAGTCTGTGCAGGGGCTTTCCATGGAAATTCCAGTCACGTTAATTCTAGCTAAGACCTGCAGCTATTTCAGGAAGCTTTAAAAGCAGCCAGGGAGTGACGTCTTCCTCTTTTATTCATACACAACAACTCTTTTCCCAAGGGCTGAAATTCAACCCAGTGCAGAGGACTCACATGCTAGCCTTTACTCCACTGAAGACTGGGCTCAACAGGCAGTGAAAAAAGCATGCGGGTGGTCTGCAATGGGGCCTATTACCATTTACAGAAGTTTCAACAGAAAATCAACTACTTTTGCTCAGCTGCAATATCTTCAGGACAAAGGAGAGGAAAATCAAAGACCACGTCAAAGAAGGAAAACAGGTAGTTTTTTTTTAGAGGCTATCCTCTCAAATTGCAGCCTTCACAAATTATCCTTGCACAGCACAACTGCTCTTCTCTCTCAACTTCACGTTGTTTCCTGAAAATTCATCACTGTTGGAACTCTGCTCACTGTGCATTTGTCTTCCCAACACAAAGCTAAATTCCCATAGCAGCTTTGCCTTTGTTTTAAATGGAGATGAGACAAAAGTGAGACATATTTATTTGTCAGTTTTGGTGAAAACACATGTCAATAAAAAATATTTTTTTTCAAAATAGGAAAACAGGGGCTAACCTCAGCTATACTACGTATGTTTCTGCAGTAACTCGGGGTTCTTCAAGCCAAGAAAGACACTGACATTTTTAATCACTACTGTTTGTACTGAAGTACTGTTTCAACACCTAAAAGGTGTGCTGTAGTTAGAACTGCACACAAAGCCATAATAAAACAATAGAACCTTTCCTAAACGAACAGGTAATTGAGCTTAACAATAAAATGGTTTGTATTCCAAAGGTGAAATAACAATAAAAAGTAGTACCATGACTTACCAAAGGAAGAAGTCAAAGAAAAGTAAATCAGGTGATAATGGTTATAGGCCTCAATCCTAACATCTTTCCAGATTCCTTGAGTGGGAAAAGAAGGACCCCAGTCCCAACTAAATGAACACTGCTCCTAGAATATAGAATGATTGTGTTACAATTGCCTACTTTTCACACAGACATTGATGCTGTGTCAGAAATAAAAAAATATTTGCTCTCTAGAAATAAAATATTTCTATGCACTGAAAGAAATCTTCCAATTTCCATAAACTCAGAAGAGCCTACACTATTTTTTCTCTTATTTCTTGCCCAGAACTCTGCTGCTGCTGCCTATATTACATAAAAAATGCAATTTTGTATTAAACATCAATGTATAGCAAAATGTTATATTAATGAGAGAGCAAAACACCACCTAGCCCACCACCTAAAAAAAAAAAAAAAGAAACAGTAAAGATCAAACAACCAAGCCAGCAGGTTTCTCTCAATTCAGCTCTGAATTATCTTAGTTTGTAATGTCAGTATTTAATTGTATACCTAAAAGACAAAGCAAGCAGAAAACTGATGGTTACAAATGTTAAACTATTCTAAAAGAACAATACCAAATTAAAAATCAAGGGTATATCTGAAATACTTCATCCCCTATTTTTTGTTGTAACACCACAGATTAGTACAAGGAAAGAGACGTGTACATCTGGTGCATTTGTGTAGTTCAGTCATGTTCACTGCTTCTCGCCCTTTTATGGTTCTCTTATACAAACACAAAGGGAACAAAAACATGGTTGAGAAATAGCTTAGTTCTGGTCCCAACATCAGAGTAACTGTCAGAATTATAAAATGCTGGTCAGGCAGAGAAGTACCTACACTGCTTTCCATTTATCTGTTTTCAAACCTGGCAAGACCTCTAGTTAACGAATCCCTTGAAGACATCAATTCAGCTCCCCTCCAAGTTTCACACAGCCCTGGCCCCCAAAGCAAACACAATAGATCTCCTTAAAGTCTTGTACAGTGACCTAGAGTTCTAAATTTAGAGACTAGTAACGTACAGCTGGCATACTAATTTTGGCAAAACACATTGCACAAGTCTGGCCTATCCCTTGCACGGCTGGAGTCAGCCTGCCTGCCTATCAAGTTGCAAAAGAGCTTTCCAGGAAGCAAGCACTGTACCTATTTCAAGTGTAAAAAAACAGGGGCAACATATTCTTAGAAAACAAGTCAGATTGAAAGTAATTTTGCCTTTATAAAAAATAAACAAATGAATCACTCACAGACTGTCAAGTTTCACTATAAATATTGCAAAGACTGCTACCAGAAACAGTATGTCATACGAGCAATATGCTTATGTCACTGAAGTACGTTACCAGTGAAAGGCTTGTGTTTTGCCACAAATTCCTGTTACGATTTAGGTAGGTTTACTGCACTTAATACTGAACCTCAAGCACGTAAACAGCTCTCTGTTACCATAAGATGGTAAGCAGCCAGCTTACTTTAGCAATGTCCTAGTATGTTTACTTGTAAAGGTGACATCGCTGCTGTTGTTGTCATACACTTGGAACTGAAAATGTTTTTGGAAATGTCTGGAGCAGCTTCCAACCACAGTCAAACTACTCATTTGAGGAAAAGCACTAGGGTACTTTCTTACAAATGTAAAGGTATAGTTCAACAAAGCATGAAATCATTCCTGGCCATTTTTGCTCTACAAATAAGACTAGAGCTGTTTAAGAGCCTTCTTCCCTGCGTTGATTTCTAAGAAACACAGTGGGTTCAGAAAAATTAATCAACTTTCTAAAATGTTGTGAAAATAAAAGTAGCCACAAGTAGCAATAAAGACAACATCTTAATCCTGAAGGATCTTCCCAGGACAACATGGAGTCCATCCTTCCCTTAACAAATTTTAAGGGAAATTACATCCAGGTTTACATTAACAGGATTATAGTAATTTTTTTGAGGAGGCTCTAAAAGGACTTTATTAAAAATATTAAAAATAAAATTAACAAGAAAGGCATTTAAGTGGAGACAAACATGCAAAAACACCCAAAAAGAGAAATTCCAAAATAAGATCACCTAGCCACTGTCTCTAGCTGCTGCACAGCTATCAGAAATACATGAGATGCTGCTCAAGTGATAGTCTGCCTTGACTGAGTTTTAACAGCAATGAAGCCATGCCTTAAATCAGAGTTTCAGAACTTCATTCATTGCATATCACACAGTTGTTTTCACTAAATATGTACTTATAAGTCACACTTCACAACACCATAATGAGATGAGATCAGGTCCTCTGTTAGATAACACTTCTTGGGACATGCCAGAGCTGCCCAGTATAAATAGCACAGCACGTGAGCAATAGCAAACACTCACAAAGCCGCTTGGCTGGGATTTTTACAGCCTTGGCAATATACACTGTTATTTGCAGCAGTGAACTCTATTGTCAGCATACATTGCTAAACCCACCCAGTGGATCAAAAATATAATTATTACATATTTTCCAATGCTATCCTGCTCTCTTAGCAGCAAGTCTCCTTGCTGACTCCTTAATGAAGACAGCCTTTTAAATATTCTTATCACCTAGATACGAAGCCTGGCCTTCTTATGCCCTTATGCCTTTTGTATTATTGACATGCTAGACTACAGATATATGGGGGGCACAGGGGAAGGAAACTGCAATGAAAAATATGCCCTACTTATAAAATGACATTGCAGGTTTCAGAATACATCTGTAAGGACAGCACGTGGCGCATTCATCTTTCCAAGCCTGAAGCCAGAGACAGACAATTCTGTCCCTACCTTTCTGATGAAATTAGCATGGCACTCTCCTTTCTGCACAGGTGGAGGGCACGCCGGGGGGATGCTGTATGCTTTGTGACATCTGCTCTGCTCTGCTGCATATGAAATGGCTGATAAGAAACTAACTTTGACAAAATTGACCTCCTTGATCACACGGGTAATATCAAAGCTCTAGGGCAAGAAAACAGAACAAAATCATTACAGCGCTGACATTTATTTATGAGATTTATAATCACCATTACATGGGGATATTAATACCATACATATATTATTCAAAGGCATTTGAACTACATTCTCAACAGGCTCTGGTTTTGAAGGAAAATAAAAACTACTTCTTAAGCTGAAAAAAGTAAACACACGGTATCATTCAAGATACAAGGAAATGTTTCAGGGCAAACCACTTTTCCCATACTTGAGCCCTCACTGCAGGCTGCAGGGCTCTGCATACAGAAGTGCTTAAAGGATAAGGACGGCAAGAGAATCTTGACCCTCCTTCCTTATTGAGAACACGTCTGCATCTTTAGAAAGACACCTTATTCCAACTCAGAAAGCTGGTCTATACAGGAGTCCTTCCAACTCATGCTGTGCTGGCAGCTCACCTACCACAAAGCA